TCCCGGCTGTGGTACCGCCCTGTTGCCACCGCCCCGCGCGGCGCCTCCTGAAGTCCCAACGGTCCCAACGGCCTCAACGGGCCCCAACGGCCTCCAACGGCCCCAAGCGGTTCCTAACAGCTCTCCCCAACGGCTCCAAGGAGCTGCCCCATGTCTGCCTTCCATCATGTCCCCCCTAAACGAGCCGCTCGCTTTTAGCTGTGTGCTCAGGGGGACACTAAAGCCTGTGCCCCCAAAGCGGGTGAAATCCGGCCTCGCTCAGCACCAGCGTTTTCCCCAGCTCCCAGCGTGCCCGGAGGCCGCTCAGAAACGCGAGCGTTGCCGCTCGGGGCGCACGCCTCGCACGTACTCCCGGGAACATCTGTGCTGGCAGCGGCTCCGGGGAAGCAGAGGCCTCCAGCTGCAGAGCGGGGGCGGCGGAGGCGGCCGCCGCCTTGGCAGGGCCACCGCGGGGCAGCCCCCTGCGCGCAGCGCTGCAGCCAGGAGCTTCGGTGCGCCAAAAACACTGTCATTTGAGAGGGATATAACTCTCAAAAGGAGAAAGCTGTGATTTGGGAAAGGAAGTTTCCTCAAACATCAGCCAGTATTTCACACAATCTCTGCAGTTTGTTGATTCCAGAAGGTGTTTTGCTGGCAGAAAACAGCAGACTTGGGATTTTGTGTTACCCAGCTGTTCATAGGATGACTGTCCGGGTGCGTTTCCAGCTGTGTATTCCTCACTCCGAGCCCAGCTGACATCTTGACTAGAAATTATACATTGCTCTAGGCCTTAAATAAGGTGCGTATCAGTAGTAGCTCCTTATCTGGTGTCCTGCAGGCTCAGAAGTGTTTCCCTGCAATGAAACATCCACTGCAATGGGAGTGAAAAATGGCCATGGAACCAATATTTTGTTTAAACTAGTGCAATGTTGTGAGATTTTGCTTATAGGAAACAAAGCAGACACGTATGCGTCACCGGCGCTAGAGCAGACATAGGGACAGATGTACGGTAATGCATGGGGGTGGCAGCGGCTCCCTTGTCCCCCGGGGACGTGCGTGACAGGACAGGGAAGCGGTTTTTACTAGGGCCCCGCTGGGCACAATCCGTTTCTGCCTCCTTTTCACGGCTCGGGCCCGCGGTGCCGGTGGCGCGGGCGGCCCGGAGCCATCGCTGGGGGCAGCCCCGGGAGAAGCCCCGGGCTGTGCCCGGCGCCGAGGCCGGGGCGGCCCGGGAGGAGGAGGAGGAGCCGGA